ATGGTTTCAAACCTGCTGTGAATAATGATACAACATTTATCCTCTTTCCTGTTGATCTGAATTACGTTTTTAACAGTGTATATTCTTCAAGCTGATTTGAGAGTCAATAAAAATGTTATAAAGGATTAAACAATTATAAACTATTTTAGCAGAAATGGGTTAGAAAAAGACTTACTTTCATGTGACTCATTCCTAAGAGGATTCAATGCTGGGTCAGTGACAAGGGAAGCACATTGTGCAAAACCGTAAATTACTCAGCTCTGGGGCTGTTCTAAAGCTCTGGCTAGTGAATCATCTAACAAAAGGAATTAGAGATAAGATTGGTGAAAAGAAAGGCTCTCCAGTATAGAAGAGTCCATAGACTTATATAGCACATTTTTCTAGGACTGATAGATTGGGGTGCCCAGGTCACAACCACAGCTACTTGCTAGCCAATGGAGAAAGAGCTAGTGATATAATGCTGTGCACGCCTTATCTGGGTATCTGGAGGCTATGAGGGTCTGGATGGGGAACAACAGGTTTCAACTGAACCCTGGCAAGACTGAGTGGCTTTGGGTTGGGGTGCTGCCAGTTCTGGGACTATATCATCTTTGGTGCTGGATGGGGTGGCACCGCCCTGGATTTGGGGTCCTCCTAGAAGAGCAAGTGGCAGTTGTGGCTAGGAGGGCCTTCGCACAACTCCATATTATGTGCCAATTCGCCCCTTTCTGGATCGGGAGGCTCTGCTCACAGACACTCATGCCCTACTCACCTCCAGGTTGGACTACTGTAATGTGTTCTACATGGAGCTGCCCTTGAAGAGTATCTGGAAGCTTCAACTGCAGAATGCTGCAGCACGGGCAGTTATGTGTGCTCCTAGAACACATATTACACCTCTGCTTCGCAAACTGCATTGGCTGCCAGTTTGCTTCCAGGTCCAATTCAGGGTGTGTTTTTGACCTCTAAAGCCCTTCATGGCATGGGGCCAGGTTATCTGAGGGACCACCTCTCCCCAATCACATCAGCCTATCCCATTAGATCCATCAGGGAAGGTATGCTACACATTCCATGGGCCAGGGACTTGCATTTGGTGGGTCCCAGAAGGCAGGCCTTCTCTGCCATGGCTCCCTCCTTGTGGAATATTCTCCCTCCTGAAATTAGGCTCATACCTTCCCTGCTGTTGTTTAGGAAGACCCTCAAGACCTGGTTGTGTCATTGGGCCTGGGGGTCTTTGGGAATTGGAGACATTCTTAGATGGCTCCACTGTGATTGATATTCTGCTCTCTCCATGGGGTGGGTATATTTTGAAACCTAATTTTTAAAAAAGATTTGTGATAGCTTTTGTTTTAATAATAACTTATTTTCCTTTTATATGCCTGTTTTTATTCACTTTTTGTTTTATTAATTGTTGTACGCTGCCCAGAGTTGCTTTGCGTGAGATGGGAGGCTATATAAATGTGATGAATGAATGAATGAGGAAATATTGATTTCCAAATATTTTCCCACCTGCATATCTGAAACACAACTATTTTGTGTACTGAGGAGCTGTCATTGAAATTTTTCAGAAGTTATTGGTGAAGAGACTCTAGGTGAGAATGAAAGATTTGAGAGACTAAAAAGATCTGAGACAGGGAATTACAAAGAAAGTAAACAAAAATTAATAGAGAAATCTGCCAAGGAAAGAATTGTATCCATATAGGCTCACATAGCTTTCTTCCACCAGCAACTTTGATGTCAAAATTGCAAGTTGAAGCTTCAGGGCTATGCAGTTGCATAACTAAGTTGAGACACTAGTTTCATGTTGTACATGGCCCCCCCTCATTTGCTGCTAAACTTCATCAGTATACAGTGGTACCTCGGGATACGAACTTAATCCGTTCCGTGACTTTGGGCGTATCCTGAGTTGGCCATAACCCAACGCAAATTTCCCCATAGGGTTCAATGTAAATCCAGTTAATCCGTTCCGCCCTCTGAATTTGGCTGCACCCCGAAGCAAATTTTCCCATAAGGTTCAATGTAATTACCGTTAATCCGTTCTGGCATCCACGGACCACACGTCAGGGGTGGGAAAATGGCCAGGCGCCGTGCTGCGCAGCGGGAAAACGGCCGGGTGCCAGGCAGCGGGGCGGGAAAACAGCCGGGTGCCGGGCAGCGGGGCGGGAAAACGGCCGGGCGCTGCACGGCGGGGCGGGAAAACGGCCGGGCGCCGCATGGCGTGGCAGGAAAATGGCCACAGACCATGTGTCAGGGGCAGAAATATGGCCGCGGACCACGTGCCAGGGTGGAAAAATGACCGCACCCCGAGGCAGAGTTCGCACATCAAGGTAAATTTTTGCGGCCAGAGCTGGTTGTAACCCGAAAAGTTTGTTAGTAGAGGTGTTCGTATCCCGAGGTACCACTGTACTTTTAATGTTTGTGAAATAGCCAAATAATACAAACACTGGGGAGAAAAAAATCAAATAAGAGCCACAAATATTGTTCCAGCTTCCCTGCACAACTACTCTATTTCCCTTTAGTTAGCTTGGTCCATTGTTTCAGCAGTCTTTAGAGCCTGCCAAAATACCATCTGTAAAAGTCTGTCCATCCCTGCTGTAAGTATCATTAATACTATGTTGAAATGTATCTCCTGTTATTTGTTAACTTTGTTTATAAATATACTGTACATGAAATACTGTTCCTTTTACTTTGTTGTTAAATATCTTGGCCCCAATTCGCAACAAATGCTCTGCAACACTTTTCCCATCCTGATTGACTAGCAGATTTCCTTAACTCAATCACCAACTCTACCTCAACTGGCCTCAATCTTTATCAAGTGATTGCCCCCATTCAGTTTTTTAAACTGTAAGTTTAAAGTACACCCTTCAGTGTACTGTAGTAACATTTAAGGCAGCCACAGCTAGCTCAAGTCAAATACTTAATTACATAAAGCCAGGCTTCTGCCTACTTTATTACATTAAAACCTCACAAAAGATTACTCACAGAATATAAATATTACAAAATATCAAGCAATGCTAGATTTCACACTATAATAAAATCCTTAGCTGTTACTGTATTACAACTGCAGAAGCTTAAACTACAATTCTTTGCATACATAATTGGGAAATGCATCTCATTAAACTCTGTGATACTTCCACATATAAAGCATCTGCCAGAAAGTCCACATGGAAGTCATAGAGAAAGATTAGATACAGTGCAAACAGCTGTTGTATACAATGCATTTATGGACTACTAGATCAATCTTTCCTAATTTGTAGCTATCTAGATGTATGGGGATATGTTGAGAAGGTAATTCCCAGAATTCCCACCAGCAGTTGGCCTGGAATTCTGGAAACCTACAGTTGAAATACTTTTGGAGAGCACCCAGTCAGGAAAGGTTGAACTAAATTACAAACTCCAGATGGTGAACATTGACATAGTAACTAAAGGTAGGAGAAAAAAGCCTAGGATTTGAAACTTTGAGTCTCTCTCTCTCTTTGTGTGACAGAAACACAGACACACATATAATGATTTCTGTTCTGTACAGCAGTCAATCTTCTGTGTATATATGACACCATTGCCGCAAAAACTACTAATAGAGCTGTGCCACATCCCTGAAGTTTCTGCAGAGGATGGGGTTGAGTTTCTGAAGAGGTGAGATTTATTTCTAGGTCTGCTGTGAAGTCTGACAGGTCTCTAACCATCTTGGGTAAAAGAATGTTATAAAGACTTGGGCTCAGACATTTAATATATCAAGGATCTTTTTGTCTGAAGGTGTACAATGAGCATCCCAAGATAAGAATTGTTATAATGTTCTCACATATTGATTTATGTACAGAAATCATGCATGTTATTAGTTTAGACCTCAGAAGTCTTCAAATCAGAAAGGCAGATAATTAGACTTGAGAAGATAATTAGATTTTATTACTAAGCAAGACTATCTATAACCTATCTGCCATGCTGAGATGGAAAGGAGAAAAAGAGAGTCTTTCCATTAGGAACAAAAAGCAGACTGTTAAAATCTCTGCCTACAGTTAATGTTTCAGAATTGTGACGTTCCTATTACTGTGATAAGAAGTACAGATAGAAATCCCAGCTGGATGACAATTGCACTGTGCTCTTCTGGACTTCTAGGAGAAGCCAGAAAACAAAAGCAGGCTTGCATGAAAAATCTCTGATAATGAGTCAAATGCTGCAGATAGAGAGACCTTTGTCAACTTTATAGTAATGGAGCTTTTTCTCTTTTACTTCAGAATATTACATGTTCTTTGTTTTTGTTTCATGACTTTCATTTTGACTTTGTTCACTAGTACTACATTTTTTGTACCTTCTACTTTATTTGTGCTGTGACGTGGGACTAATTAGGTGACATTGATGTTTCCCTGGAACTGGCCATACCAATTTCATCATTGTAATCGGTTGTAGTTTCCAATATCTTTTTACATGTAGTGGTACCACCCATGTTAACCCAGGTCTTTTTTCG